CCACCCCAACACACACACAGACACACAATTGCACTGGCCACGCCATAGTCAGTCCACCCCCCCACCCCACAAACAATGGAAGCTTCTGGCAAAGTATTTACATGTGAATGGAGACCATCATTAGCCAACTGTAGCGATACATGAAATGGCCCCTGATCCGGGGGGCTGGACCAGCATTCTTCCATAAGAACGTGGGCCGATTGGCAGGGGGGGGGGATATTCCAATCTCCAGACAGCAGCACGATTTGGACAAAGTACAAGGGTCATCCAGAGCAGCCGGATCCCTAAAACAGTACTCAGTCACATGCCACCCACAAAGAGACGGAAATCAACAAATCTTTAAGAATTCATACTCAAAAAAAGACCTTAATTCCATTTAGTCAGGTTCGTTGACTTTAACGGCATGCTAGCAAGCAGAACTATATTGACAGCGAGCAAATGGACGGAAAAACACACCGAACGACGAAAAAGGCTGAAGCTTCATAAACAATTATAAAAACTAAAAAAGAAAAACATCTTGAACATCTTAAGTCAAGAAAGCCTCTGGCTTGACTTTACTAAAAACCTGTTAGAGAGAGTCTGTAAAATGCTAAACACACCAAAGGGAGTTAAAAACCAAACCAAAAAGACAGTACAACTAAACCAGCTTAATAGTCAAAGTAGTGTTACATGCAGGACATACAAGCGGATCTTCACCTTCACCAAGCATGTGGGTCAGCCTGTATGCCCAATAGGACACCCTGTATAAATGACCTGATCACATTGGTTTTTAAAACTGACCGTAGCACCATTAGTACCTTAATTCCATATCATCAACATATTTGCTCATCCTCCACTGCCTGTCATTAATAACCACACAGATTAGGAAGCTCTTAGCTTTATTTGATTTATAGCCACTCAGGGTAAATTCAGCAAAAACGCCCACATGTCCTACCGGGCGAATACAGTCACCCTGACAGCCGGCGGAGAGCTGGCTCATGGCGGTGGCTCCTGTCCTCCCACGACGGAGAACAGCCAGCCGAGATGTGAAAACCAGAGGCCGTGAAGGAGGGCAGAATCCCAAGGCCATCCCACCCAGAGACCTATCCGCCGGAGGATCTCCGACGATCCTGCTTACGGCCGACCTTGCAGATATAAGAGGACAGCGAGAGTGCTTTCCCGTTCTCATCTCACCCCCCCAGCTCCTCTTTACCGCAGGAGAATCATCAGCAGGTCATTATCTCAGTAAGGCCAGAGGACATGTTCCACCTGGACTGCGGCAGCCTTAAAGGACAGAAGGAGGCAAGATTCTGGCACTTCAAACACATCCATGTCACTGCGAGGATCCGTTTTCAGAGCGACATCAGCAGTGGTACAGCAGTGGTACAGCAGAATATATGATACTTGTAGTAGACGACAGACGCGACGGTGCCAATGTGGCGATTTCAGGGAGGTTACAGGGTCATTGCCCAAATGAACGACAACGTTTGTTTCTTTGACCATTTAATACGCAGTATCCGTCTGTTGATTTGTTCTTTTAATACCAAGTTTCAACTGGAGTTCTATTCCATCTGTTTTTATTGCTTCAATCTTTCCATACTTTAATTTACCTCCCACTGTGCAGCACTTTAGTCTGTCAACTTGTTTGACTTTGAAAACATACTATACAAATAAACTGATTGATTGATTGATTGACTGACTGACTGACTGACGGTCTAATGTGATTCATGGAATTCAACAGGCCATCAGACAGGGAGACCAGGCCTGAGCAGAGAGAGCATCACACTGTAAGACATGACCACCAGCAGCCATCCCCCCACAGATAAGATGGGAGACAGACCATTGTAAGCGGCATCCATCTTGTCTGGAGCCCCATAATGCACTGCAGGTCATCACAAGACACTGGAACTGCTGCTAAACTCATTAGTGCGTCATGTTTTCCCGGACAGACTGAATCTCTTTGCAGTCTGGCCACATGAGTGCCTACATATTCCAACCCTAATTAAAAACCACTATTAAAATATGCACTTCACATCCATCAGTTCAACCAACAATTCAGAAACCTAAACCCACATTCTCCAGTAAGGACTCCTCTGTAGATACTCACATAAGGAATATGTTGACAAAGATCAACTGCTCATTGCATGTCAGAGGGATGATTGATATTTTTACCCTTTCTACACCACACTCCCTCATCAACAGATAGAGGGGTCAATAACAATCTGGTCCAATACAACTTGTATTATGCAATGCCAAGCCGTAATACAACCACGATGCATCTCGCCCAATATGACTGCTGATTCAATGACATGGAACTTAACGCGTAAAAGCGGCACGCATCCATTGCACTTTTGGCAAACAATCAAAAATTAAACGAATGAAGAAAACGAATAAAGACGGAAAGCAGATGCCTTGGCGTGTTTTTTCCCCCTCCTACATCACGGCTCCTCCGGACCTCGACGTCGAGCAAGGAAATCAGCGCCCCGGACCAAAGCCAATTTACACCGAGAAGAGTAGCTTTACGCACAGAAAGAAACGGGTCAGACCCAATAACAGACTCCAAACAAGCAGAAACTCGGAGTGAAGATCCAAAAAAGTAGGCCCACATACACACACTCAAACACACAGACACACACACACACCAGAAGACCCTCCACACACCCCAATGCACATGTACTTTCTGAAATAATCAAAACGCATTAATAATTAAGGCTCACTCAGCTGTACATGTCCTGCTTAACCGCACCTCGCCATCAACAAAATAACCCGCAGGCTCTTTAAACCAGAAGACTATCTACACTTAGGAGCGTGAGCGACTCTCAGAGGATGAGATCCCTCAGCTGATCTGCTAAAACTGCGCTAGAATAACACAGACATAACAACCGTGGACTCACCTCGTTGTCGTGATGCTGGCAGAAGCTCATCCGGTCCTGGAAGATGGGAAGCAGAGAGTAACTGGAATGGAAGGATTGGGAGAGGGTGACTGGGGCGCCGGAGCCGCCGGTGCGCACTCCCAGGTGGAGGCTCTCCACCAGCCGCTCGATGAAGTGGTCCTTGGTAAGGCGGACCCTCTGGTGGGCTCGGACGCAGTTATCGCACAGGTACTCCTGGCAGTCCAGGCAGTGTGAGGTAGCGGGGTTGCCCTCATCGCACGAACTGCAGTGCGGCTCCCCCAGGCGGTGGGGCCGAAGCAGCCCGCCGTGCGGCCGTTGGTAGCCCCCGCCGCCGCCCCGGCACCCGTTCTTGGTCTGTTCTTCAGAGGACACCACCACATCCAGCAGGTTGCTGAAGAGGAAGTTGGACGACGGCAGCGACTCCACCCCGGACTCGGAGATGGAGACTTTTTGGTCACAGGTGGGACAGCGGAGCTTCAGGGGGTCGCCCGGATGGCGCTGTCCCTCCAGGCACTGCCTGCAAAAGGCATGAAGGCAGGGCAGGACGTGGAGCCTGCGGGTGGATGAGGTAGAGGAGCTGGAAGTCTGCGATGAGGAGGATGAGGTAGAGGAGCTGGAGGAGATGGGAGCGGAGGAGCCGCACAGCTCCTTGCACAGCGGACATGTTTGCAAGTCGGAGTCTGGAAATGACGCCATGTCGGACTGGAAAGTAGATAGTTATTAAAACGCACCCTCTAAAGCAGACATCTGCTTCACTTGGCAAAATCGTTCCTGCGCAGTTAATTGTAGCTAAACAGCGGATATTCGGGTCCGGCTTCTAATAAACATCTGAAATTACATGCGCCCATCAAAAACGTTTCGGTGGAAAAAAATTAAATGCTTGTACCTGATACACAATACATGTACGGGTGGAGGCCTAATTGCTTGTGTCGGCCGAATTGCTTGATTTTAGAGACAATTTCTGATATTCATTAATTCTTGTCATTCGGGAAACGCCGGCTATTACTACTTCTGTCCAAATTTTGCAATCCTCTTCATCGCCAGCTGCAAAGAGCGCTCACGTTTACTGTTTTTTTTTAAGTCATTGGTAATTTAGCCTCATTTTGAGGGTTTATTTTGTAATCCTGCGATATCCAGCTGCTGCATTCCCGTGAAACGCGGAATCCGTCGCGAGGCTGCCGCTCCTGCCCTCCTCCCCCAAGCACCGCATGTCCATGAGGGCTTCCTAAAGCCAGCTCCTTATCAGTCTCACTGATCCGAACATGAATGTATCTTTTTTTTTACCAGTGAAAATAACAAAGGCCCGGGTTTTTTTGTGTGTGTCCCTTCCTCAGTCCACCATCGGGTCCCCTCCAGCGGACGGCAGCTGCGGTCGGCCGAGGAGCGCTTGAATAATTCATCAAAGCATTTGATCGGGAGCAATGCGACACCGCGCAGCTCCCGCCGTGTCAGTTTCCCCCGCGATCGCGTCTCAAAACGCGGATCCTCCAAAAGAGCCCCGCCGTGAGCCACCCAAACCCGCAAGCATGTGCACTCAAACTGCGGAAAGAGCCGAGTCTCTCCGGACGGGAAAGCCCGTGCTTGTTCTTCAGCTTTCCTCTCAGCGTCCGACCGAAAAAGAAAAGCACGCACCTATCCTTAATATTGCGCAAACAGACAGTGCAGTAATGGAAAAAAAAACCAACGTGTGCGTGTCTGACTCAATTTAAAGTGCGCCTTCCTTACTGCGTGAGCCAGGAGCGCTTGCTACGTGCCAGCCAGCAGGACTCGTTTTGCCGATGAGACTCCCTATAATCCCGATCGGGGTGAACACACTTCCGCCTGATCATTTAGGGGCCAGGCCAAAGCATGGGGGGGCAGGGCGTTACACTCTTCCACTGCTGAACTCGGCGATCCGCACACGGCGCAACCATGCAGGTGCGCTATGCTGCCATCCTCACCTGAAAGTGCGATAAACTGTCACGCCGGGCTTAATGCTCACTGATCAACCCGGTTCGGTTCGGTTCGGAAAGCCAGCCGCAATTATGTGAATTACATGCAGGATCCTCTAGACCTGGTCTCACTACACATCAAGGTTGGGGCCATTCCGGAATGCATTGATCAATTCCAGTCCAAATCAGGAAATTGAACTGGAGCTGGGATTGGAAAGAAAAACTACAGGGAACAGAATTGGAGTTGAATTTGAATTTCAGGGAGATTTAGGTTCCAATCCCAGTTCCATTTCCTGATTTGGACTGGAATTGATCAATGCATTCCGGAATGGCCCCAACCCTGCCACACATATGTCTTAGTCTGTGTCATTTAACTATTGGAGGACGAATCGCGTTTTGTTGCTGTTAAAGAATTACATTCCCCGTGTAAGAAAAACATCATTGTTTTGTCATTAACGAGATATGATGGTTAGTGGTTACTGGGTTGTAACACCACATAGAGAATAATGAAAAGGTTCTCAGCGAACCGAAATCCGTAAGGCGTCTTTAAGAAATATTAACATATTGCAAACCGAATTGTGCTTATGAAACCAAACTCGAATGCACATCCAAAAGATCGAAGTGTTATCTTTGTCGTTTCATTGTTTAGTTTTATATTTTTAAAGAGCAGATTGACCTTGGCAACCACACGATCTGGAAGTGTGGTGATCTGTTTTTCCTTTCTCCCAGTTTGTTATAGCGTGTAACCCCATTGTAATTAACATTTAACTAACAATACACCCTGGCCGCTAATTAGTAGCTTCAGAACCGCCAGTAACAATCCTGAGATGCTTGGACTACACGGCAGGGCTATTTGATCCCGTAATTTTTTCTGAGGAATCCGCCTTTTAAAACGAAGACCACGTAGATAAAACGGAGTGTAAGCAACACACACCCCTATATACTGTACACGCCATGCGTCCCCTTAGGCCCGTGTGTTATATGAATGTAGACTGTTTCTGTTCGAATTTTAACCTTCTTTCGAATAGCCAAGGTGACACCGACATGATTTATTATTGGAAATTGTGTAGAAATCATGGGAAATTAGCAGCTTTTGTTATATTTATTTTACTAATGGAGAAAACAAAACGAATATGGCGAGTAAGATCAAACAAGAAAAAACAGCTCGTTTTACATGATGCGAATATAATTTCATTCGTTTATATGTAACCAGTGTAATGGTATATTTACTGCATGTAGGCCTACCTTTACCATGTAATGGAAATATATTTCATACATTTCTGTTGAATGCTATTGCGTTGTAAATAGACGCCAGAAAGGCTGCAAAATCTTTTTGATTTTGTGAATGAATTTTAATTTATTTCAGAATATTGTATCAATATTTCAGGATCCTGAGACTCCCAACAATAGATAAATAATTTTAATCTTAATTGTACAGAAGTAGACAGACGGTATTATAAAATAAGGAGTGCGTGTAATATTTATGATAATTTGTTTTGGCTACTCCCAGGGTCGATCGATAGAAATAAGATGGAAAATCTTAGAAAAGAATCGGATTTGTTCCTACATTTAGCCTGGTTAACTAGAACACCACCGACAGTGATAGGCCATTAATTTCAGTGTATCTTTACTTCATATTTTTTTATTAATCTTTGTACAATGTAGTGTATAAAGCCAGACAATCTGGTTTGTGTTTGTGCTGTGACTTTAACGTTACATATGGTATATTTCTGTCGTCTCCGTACCGCGTTGTCCACACTTGCCCGTGGGGAATAGCAGCAACACTGGAAGAAAAGCTTTTAATGTCCCATCCCCTTCTGGCACTTCTGAGGGTTTGGGTGGGATTCCAGATGTGAGCATGCCCAGTAAAGCAGTGGGTCGCCAAGCAGTAAGACGCAGCGCAGAAAAGGACCTTTCGACCCCAATAATCCGATCCTTTATGAAAAGCAGCTCTGGATCGCTCCTGCTTTCGCCCCATCTGTCCTCACAAGCAGCTGCTCTGTCCAAAGATGCCGCAGCCATTTACTCCAGGAGGAAGCCAGGGCCCCCTCCGGCCAAAACAGCACACTTAAGAAATTCATTAAGCGCCGCCGCGTCCGATCACACGCAGCATATGATCGGAGCCGCTCCGGTTTTCCGGGAAGACCACAATGCAATTTTTGTGCTTTTGCCAAATCTGACCCACAAATTGGCGTCATTCTATATTCCTGAACTGCTGGAGTTAATTCAATAAGTGCATACTCCATGACATTCCAGGAAAAAAATGTGAAATAACAAGCAAACGGGGGAAAGGGACGCACGATGATTGGTGACTACCATGTGACATATTTCCAAAAATATACTTTTAAAGGATCTCGCTTAATGGATGTTCCATCCATCTTCCAACCGCTTGTCCCGGACAGGTTTGCAGGGTTAAATGGATGTTCATCGCTTTAGAAAGGCATAATCATACGAAAACGACGTAAACCATTTTATATTCCAAATTTCGGTTTTAGATTGAACCCCAATACTGGTAAATCTCACCAAAATCCTTTTTTTTTTAAAAAAAATAAACGACACTCAGTGGTCGAGGATAAAACGCTCGTGATATTAGTAATTTAATTCGAGCTGATTTTAAACAGGCAGCAGAATGAAACTGCACACAACTGACACTGATTTTGACTGTTGAGTTATGAATTAGTAGAAAATCGCTTATTAGCTGAATTAATGGACAGTGCATTGAAATCCGGAGATCCATAAACAACCCCAGCAGCGCTTGATGAATCTCTTGGGTCTTTGGTAACGATCACCCTGCCTCTCGTTATTTAAACAGAAATACTGCCGTGGTGCAAACAAGCAGCCATGGCTGTGAGTCAGGCAGGGCTGGGCCCCTTTACGGTGTCTGTGATTGAGCACCATTGCCTGGGGCAAAAACTCCACAGCGTCAGGAAGTAGTCAAGCTAGCGGAGTGCTGCTCAATTGGGGGTCTTTAAATTAACACCTTCACACCCCCTCCGAAGGGGAGCGCGGAGCCAGGCCTGTGGAGGGCCAATCCATCTTCGGGGCCGCCAGTCAATGAGCGGCAGAGATGCAGAGATGTTTAGATCTCATGCTGATCTCAAATGCCCCCCCACCCCCATACTTCCTAACACAGGAAAGACCAGTCTTGCTCTAGAACCTTCTGGGGTGTGTCTCTTTTGATTTACGCCAGACCCAACATTAGACCCCCCTGGGTCATAAGTGTTTGGTTCACCTCTCTAAAACAGTCTGCGAAAACCGGCAAGTCTTTTAATGACAATCAATGACATACCACAAAATAACATTCAGAAACAGCATCGCTCAGAGTTCATGGTCCACAGTTCATGTCACAGATCTGACAGACTCATGCGTCCCTTAGTTTGATTTTTAAAACGCCAAAACTTGCAGAGTGCAGCTTCCAAGGCAAAAAAAAAAACACTCGCTAGATAGCACACTCCCCCTAGTGGAGATATTAAATATCTGCATTCAATTATCTATTCAAGAATTTATGAACCTGCTCTTAAATCAACGTCACTAATACAGTACTAACATCACGGTAAGTTTTGTGCAAGTATGTCTACAAATATATTTTAAATGCCCTTATAAATCACATCAGTATGTGTACTGTATGTGAAAGTTTGAATTATTCCACATTATAAAATATAGAAATAACTAATTGTTATTCACAGTAAGGTAACACACATAATTACTAAGTAATTTCTTCTCAATTATATTCAGATTTTTTCATTAAAAGTAAGGAAAGAACAAAATAAAATATTAATTTAAAGAACCCTTAGTAACCTTTACCTATCTGTGCCATTCTCAAAGATGATTGAGACGGACCTTAAGGTCAACCAGTCAGTGACACAAGTCTATAAAGCCATCAAATAAGCAAATAATTAATTTAGGGCAGGGCTTTTCAAATCTGGCCCTCAATTCCAAATCCGGGCCTTGTTTTCAATTCTCCCCGGTAGTTAGTTTAATAATTACTGATTCTGATTGGTCAGAGGCTTCACACCTGGCTCACAGGTAAAGGAAGGCTGGAAAACCAGCAGTGCTCAGACCTCGAGGACCGTGATTTGAACAGCCCTGATTTAGAGAACCGATGCAGAATTACGAGCGATAAAATGTCAGTAGTCTGCTTTAAAAAAACGAGATGGTTGAGAAGTACAAACTACTTTAAAACAGACGTGCAGATTGAAAGTATTTGAGTATAAACATGTTTTTTAATTGAAAAAAAGACCATTCAAGTACGCTGTGACTGCCATGCGAAGTTGAGATTTTTTGCAGCGTGGGTGGTAGCCCACCCTTGCCCCCTCCCCCCCACGGCCCTTAACCCTACTGTGTAGACAAACAAAGTGAAGACCAGCAGAGGAAGCTCACAGGTCACCCTAAGAGAACAGCCAGATCCCGGAGGCCCAGGTCACATTCTGAACAAGCCACCCACTATAGATTATTATTTAGCATTATAATATTTATTTATCATTTAACATTTAGTGAACGTAATCCTTAGGACATAAACATGTGACCTTATGGCATTGTAGCCCAATTATTGCTGCATGAACTAGCCTCAGAGTTTCTGTAACTGTATCTTATTTCCGCCCTGGTTGTATGAATCTTATTCATCTCTGTTGTTTACCGCTATGATCAAGGCCAAAGAGTATAATTGGCTTTAATATGCGGCCAGCGAAAGCTTCCAAAGGCTGCTGCTGCGCAACCACAGAGACACCTGGGTTCCCACGGCTCGTCTGGGCGTCTTGCCTGGACCTTTGTCACGGTGCCCTTGGCTGACTCCGCACCCTCTGCCATTACTATACAAAACATTGCGGTGGCCATTTTGGCA